TTGAGGCATGTCTGGCTTATATGAGAAAGCAAGTTCGCGTTTATCATCGCACTGATCGGAGCGGTGCTAATCCGCAGAAAGCTCTGGGATCTGGCAGACACATGCTTCATATCCCAGCACACACCAGCACTAAGGTTAATGCTATATGGACCAATGCTTTGCTCACAAGGTACTGAGTTTAGGAAATGGAGCTCCGTAGGTGAAAAATTAAGGCTTATCAAAAATGATCATTTAAATGCTTCACTGGGGGTTAAATAACAAGAATTTCTCCCGTCTTCTAAGATATCAAGGGAAGTAAGATGGAAATGCCATAGTTCTCCACAGCCTGTTAAAGGGTCGGCTCACTCCACTCGGGCAGCCTAGCCTTTGACGTTGTACGACCGGAAACGGGGCTGTCTGTGAGCCGTCATGCCCGAGCTGGGGATTTTCTTCTGCTGAGCTCAGAAACCCTCCAGGGCTTCTTGAGGTCCTGTTCTGGGGAGGGGGTGGTGGAGGAGCCCACAGTCTAAACCCCTCACCTTTTCTGCTTTCCTGAACCGCCAGTGACAACAGGCCTGCCACTCCTGGGAGAGCTCATGTGACCTCCTTTCTGTTCCCCGGACTTCGTGAAGAAGAACCGAATTATCCCGCTTGTTCACTAGTGGTTGTGATGTCTCCTTCCTTGTGCTATAAGTTCCAGTTTTACAACTTACAGTGCCCACACAATGGAAGTGCTACATGGGTGTTCGCGCAGTACTTGGACATTTCTAAGAGCTTACAGTGACATGCCTTTGCTTTTCTTGCCTGGTTTCTTTTCAGATTTGGTCTGCTTTGGCCTCTGTCTTCTGTGTTGTCCCTGTTGGACAACACAGCTGTGAGGTACCATTTTGCCTGGCACAAGTGAGAGCTGCAGGATTAAAACATTTTTATTTACACCACAGCCTGACCATTGGTGCAGTTGATAGGCTGAGGTATTTTTATAAAGGGTCTCTTTAAGTGATTATTTAAATAATTCTTGAAATTGGAGCCCTTGTTATCAAGCCTTTCTTTTTCCCCCAAAATGGAAAATAACAATCCAGAGAACTTGACTAGATTTGCCTTTTTGTCTTTTTTAATCATTTCATACTTTCTGTTAATCCATTACAAAAACGATGCACAAAGTTCCCCCTGCATTCATTCCACTCGGCCTCCCTCTCAGTCATTGATCTAGCATCTCAAACTGCAGGCTGAACAACAGCTGGGATTGAGCTACAAAACAGGCCGCATTCAGACGAGAACTTCACCTGGGTTGCCTGAGCAGATCCACACAGGGACTTTCCATGGGCAGGATTTCTGTGTTAACATAAATCCAGTACCATGTTCTGAAGAGTTTTGTAAGTGTGCATACCAAGTTTTATTTTGCAGAATAACCAGAGACTCTCCCCTTTGGAAACTACTCTCTCAACGAAACAACAAAAAAATCCTGTTGTCTCTCAAATTGTGCACACATAATTGGAGCTTTTGTGTGTGTCCCCAAGTCTTTCAGAAAACATGTTTTAAGGTGGATTATATTTTGTGTAAAACGAGTTCGATTTTTTTCCCCCCTGTTACCTAAATCCAGTTTCTGTCTGAACGTTCCTGCACTAAAACTAAAACGTCTGCTGAATATGAACAGAGTTTTGTGTCTCTTAGCCTCTATCAAGGCATTGGCCCAGCCGGGCCAATCCGGGCCGACCCAGTTACAGCCCGGGCCGGTGCTTTCAGTCTTCAGTAAGCAGGCCTGGGCCTGGGTCACATAGCTAGTGTGAAAACGGCAGCAGTAGACACTGGTCAACGCCAGCTTGTGTAAATATGTGTATTCTACTGTAAAAACAAAAAGGAAATCTAATTTACCAAAGGAAAACGAGTTTGTTCCCTCTTTATGTTTTTTTAAAAACATTTAATTTAATTTGGAACTGGTTATTTGAAAGTGTCAGAGACCGCAGGAATGTAAGCGGTCGGCTTTTGCGAGGGAACTGAACAGTGGCACAGAGGAGAAGGCTGTTTCTATGAAACTCTGTAAATTGTAAAATATGTTGTAAATAAAGATCTAACTATTGATTATTTTAAATCGGCATCTGAAGCTCTGGTATTACTTTTTGGACTTCTTTTTCTTTTGAACGTTGTGAAATCCGGAATAAAAAAAGATGTTACTTTTTTTAAACATAAATAAATTTGGTATTCTCAGTTGTTCATTGCACCTCCATGATTTGGGCTACGTGATTGTTGATCACCTGCAGCATTACCACGTGAGGAGAGAGGGCTGTGGGTCTTCTGCCACGCACACTGTGGGGTCTCTTGCCCTTCTGTGCTCCTGTAGCAGATTAATGCCCGTGACAAGTGTGGTGCCTCTCTCAGTGTTGTGCCAACAAAATCGGCAGCACCTCGAGGCGGGTGGTTCCCAAATCTGTTCCTGCAAGTTTCTAGGCTTCTCAAACTTCAAAACAACCTTGCACCTGGCTGAAGGGTTAAAGTGATCCCGTTAAGATTTAATGTGACCAGTTAATCCTTTCCCAGCTGCCTGGAGCTGCTGATTTTTTAAAGAGACACAGACAACCTGCTGGGGTGGTGGTTCCCATTTGTGGTCTTGGGGTACCCCTGTGTCTGCTGGGCTCTTAACTGGCGTCTGTAACAGACTGACTCGTTAGTTCAGGCCAGGTGATCAGTTGAAAAATCGACACAGGCCGACTCATTGTTGGAGTTTCCTGATGCAGTTTTTTTCCCTACTGCTTAAGTCCAGATGGTTATATTTCAGCCAGCACACCTGACTGGGGTCAGCCCTGAAACGTACTGATTAGCACAAGGTCCATATACCAGCTACTAATGCCACTCGGCTTTTCAAGAGCTGGAAATCCATTTTAAAAGGGTCTCAAAGAGAAAATTGAAATAAGAGAGATTTGAAGTCCTGTGATTAAGGACTTGACAAGGTTAGTAAGGACCAAGACGGGGAACGCATTTCCGATCGCGAAACTTGGCAGCCTTTGTCAGTGCATTTCCTCAACACCGAAACTGTGCTCAAAGCAGACCTTGACTCTGCACCAATAACAGCTGATGCCGAGATGTATTTGAATGAAGAGATTCAGCTGTACAGTTCAGATACCTAATGTAATAAACACTAGTATTGGAGCAGGCAGGCAAGAGCTGGAAACCAGCGGCACCTTAGCTTTCCAGCAAGGCTGACTGGTCATGCCTCTTCGGGACTGTTCTGTAACATTTACCCCGCGGGTCTCAGACTCAGCAGAATCCTCTGGGCTCTGTTTCACTGGGGCACTCTGTTACAGAGCGGGTCTAATCATTCACCGAAACGCAGAACTGCGATATCACGGCCATGATTTGACAGGTTTTAAAAGGTACTATCTTTACTGGCGTAAATGTTTTGAAGGTTTGACAGTAAGACACCTCGAGAAACCTTAATTGTGGAAACAGCTAATCAATTACATTTATTGTTCAGTTTGACCAACTATGTTGGAACATAAACCCGAAGATACCAAGACCGTCTAGGAATCGAAACTGCTTTACAATAAGGTTCCCTCATTTTTCATTCTTTTTTTTTTGTAAGATCCCAGTCGGTTTTTGATCACTGTCACTTAGAGCTTTGTCACAGCATAGAGGCAAAACATTGCTGGAACAGAGATCTCTTGCCTTTATCCTGGAGAGCTCTTTGGTCTCCTGGGTTTTCAACCGAGCTCTTAATGACAGAAAACCACATTTTCTACCCAATCAGACAAGAACATGGTTAAAATACCGTAGGTGTGGTTCCCCATTATCACTTGTAACAGAAACGCAGTGCAATCTTCGGTTATATACAGACCTCAGCTGAGAACGTACTGTATTGTGTCTTGGTTTTCTATTACTGCCCCTGCTGTGACTACAGATGAATACAACAGTGTGAGAGTGAATTACACACAAGTTCAGTGGTCCCACTCAACAGCCACCAACTCCGCCACTCTTATAATGACAGAGAGGTTATGGGCTACGCTGTGAGACCCAGACCCATCTGCCGGCTGAGGTCTTATTCGGGGAACCTTGCGGAAAACACCGAAGCCCGTCGGCCATCTTGGTTTCGGGATGTTTTCCGACCTGGCAGGCTAGTCATCTGTTCGTGTGAGAGCGGAGCAATGCCCCACTCCCGGAGTCACACTTTCAACGACGCGCTACCCGCTGTGAGGAAGAGCTGACGAGGCCGAGAAAAAAAAAATGTGGATGTTTTAAGAAATTCAGCTCACCGACGAGGACGGTGAAACCTACCGCGTAAGCAGACGCGCCTTCCGAAACGCAGTTTGGGAGATGGGATTGAAAACTGGAGTGTCCGCGCACTTCTGTTTTACACTTCTGCGAGAAACAAAAACACACTCATAACCGAGGACACCCCGCCGAAGGGTTGACTTGTTGTAATTTCCTGTCTCTTTTTTTCCCAGCCTCCGGCTTTTCGCTCTGACTGAGGGGCGACGGCTCAGCTCGGGTGCTGCCCCCAGTTGGAATGCTGGCCGCCATCTTTGTTTGGGGCAGAGAGAGCACTGCGCGTAAAGACATGCCGAAGAGTTGCTCTGCTTACAACTGTACCAACAGGTACAGCAGCAAGAACCCGGATCTCACCTTCCACAGGTACAGCTGTTTTCCTGATTGTATTCACAGTAATCCACAGCACTGCCGCACTCACACTTCTGATAGCGAGAGCAATCAAGAATCTGCTTCAAGCTGATTTTTTTCCACCCTCAGCTTCTGTCCTCGCTGTCTCCCAGTTGCTCCGAGCCAGGACGGCAGCAGTGTCTATTAATTATTGAATTAAGTCCTCGGTTTGTTCAGCGCGGGCTAACCTCTTTACTGCGCTGTGTGTGAAGTTGTTCGGACCGTCCAGTGTTGAATAAGATACTTTTTTTGTTTTTACCCATTGCATATCTTTATCTGGGAAAGATACATTAATTCAGTGATCTCACGGTATGGGTTTGTGTTGAGTATATAGGAGAGATGTAGGAGTTTTCGAAGTGGTGTGTAGGGAAGTATTATGTGTAAGAAGTGCACAAAATGGAACAGGTTCACATATGGTTGCGTGGCCTTGTGCCCGTCTGGGCTGTTATTATTTTTACTGCATATTATTTATGATTGTCATCATTATTAATATTGACAAGAGGGCGACACAGTGCTGCAGTGGTTAGCATGGCTACATCACAGTGCTGGGGGCCCTGGGTTCGATTTCAGACCCCCGGCTGCTGTCCATGTGGAGTTTGCATGGCCTCCTGGCGTTCGCATGGGCTTCCTCGGGGTGCTCCAGTTTTTCCCACACAGTCCAAAGACATACTGGTAGGGTTAGTGGGCTTCTGGGAAGATGGCCCTGGTGAGACCCTGTGTGTTGGTGCCTGTGTGTGCCCTGTGTTGGACTGGCGCCCTGTCCAGGGTGAACCCTGCCTCGTGCCCATTGCTTGCCAGGAGAGGCTCCAGCTGACGAGTTGTATAAGGGGTTAGAAGACAGATGGATGGATGATTTCCAGTGCCTCACCCTGGCGCTCCCTCCCTGACAGGTTTCCCTTCAGTAAACCCCACGTGCTGAAGGAGTGGCTGGACAACATCGCCCGAGACGACTTCCAGCCCAAGAGGCACATGGTCATCTGCTCGCAGCACTTCACGCCCGACTGCTTCAGTAGCTTCAGCAACCGCAAGAACCTCCTGTGGAACGCCGTGCCCACCCTCTTCTCCTTCCCGCCCACCGGCTCCAAGGTTATAATCTTATAATGTTTCTTTATT